TTTGTGACAATACTGTCATTTTAAAAGGTTATTTTGTCCTGGGGTCTTTTTTTGAACAGAGGTTGTAAAGGCAGAGGTTTCAAACTGGCTACAAAACAGAGCTTAAGTAAACAACATGTGAGGCCTTCAGTGTTTTTTTAAGTTGGAACAATGGAAATAGTCTGAATTGGAGCAGCCATCTCTCACAGACCAGGCTTTCTCGTGTTTTTTTAGCTGTAGCATCAGAAACTGTTTGGGGTCTCAGAAGATTGGGAGTTTCTGTGAATGATTCCCAGCTGCTACTTTCTGTGAAACCTCTCTTGATGTTGTTTCCTCCTGGATCGGAGAACTGCATGTGAGAATCTGCGCCTGAATTTGCTTTTTTGCCAAGGGGTGTATCTATGGGATGTTACTATATCGGAACAATTAATTAGTAATAGATATTGTATCTATTAATTGGTTAAGTTTTCCAATGGTCTTTCTTTTGTTGTATTATAACTATAGTGTTTAAATAAATTGTACTTTGCTTAATGTTGAGTAGCTTGACCAGTCACATCGCATCTGGAATGTTACACTTCATATCTATCTTTGAAATAGATGTTTGAGATTTGCCTTCCAGAAAATGGGCAGGGCGGTGACTCAGTGGTTAGCACTGCTGCCTTACAGCACCAGGGACCCAGGTTCAATTCCACCCTTGGGCGACTGTCTGTGTGAAGTTTGCACTTCTCCCTGTGTCTGTGTGGGTTTACTCCAGGTGCTCTGGTTTCCTCCCATAGTCCAAAGATGTGCAGGTTAGGGTGGATTGGCCATGGGAAATTGCCCCATAGTGTTCAGGGATGTGTAGATTAGGTGGGTTATAAGGGGATGGGTCTGGGTGGGATGTTCTGAGGGTCAGTGTGGACTTGTTGGGCCAAAGGGCCTGTTTCCACACTGTAGGGATTCTATGTATAAGGGTCTAGGCTACTTTCTTAAAATATTTTGAGGGGTTCTGGTCTGGTCCATTACACGTTACAGTGAAGTAAATTTAGGTGTAAAGAATTTAGAAATAAAGGTAGGGTGAAAGAAATATGTGCTGCTGTATAATGACAAGTGTCAGGGACACACAGAGAAAGACAGAAAAATCTACAGGCTTGTCAGTGTGTGTTTGCGTGTGCACCAGAGAAAGACTGCTGGACCCTTACTTCAGGGAATGTATGTGTTTCCTCTGAGGCGTAAGTAAGTGGGAGTTTAGTTTGCAAATCATTTCAGGTGTCCCAGGGAGAGATAGCAGCTGAGGAATAGCGTGTAGTAAATGCATGGAAATTTGCCTGAAGGAAACTGATTACAGCTGTGCCAGCCTGGGCAACAGCCTCTCTGTGGAATTGGTGGTAAATCTTTGCTCAGATTTTTGATATTTTTAAGGATATTGGTGGGATTCAAAGGAATACTGGCACTCTGTCAGTACACTTTTAACATAAAGAATAAAATGGTTATCAATCAAGAAATACATGAACTATATTATGTTGGACTAAAAGGTTAATTCCTAAAAGGATCAACTTTAACGCCAGGACACTGGGGAGAATTCCCCCTGCTCTTTTTCCAATAGTGGTTGTGGGATCTTTGACACCCCCCGAGAATAAACGCAATCTTAATTTAATACCTTGCCTGAAAAAGGCATTTTTAACAGTACAGCGTTCCCTTGTCACTGACCCTCCGACAGTGTGGCGCTCCCTTGGCGCTGACTCTCCAACAGTGCAGCACACACTTAGCGCTGACCCTCTGACAATACAACGTTCCCTCAGCACTGACCCTCCGACAGTGCCCGCTCCCTCAGTGCTGACCCTCTGACATTGCGGTGTTCCCTCTGTACTGATCTGCTGATATTGTGGGCCTGCAGTGTGGGGCTCAGTTCCCTGGGTGTAGACTCAGAGTGGAGACCCTCAGAGTTTGTGGTCGAATTGTGTGCTGGGACTCTTTCTCATTTTCTGGTTCTGAGGGGAAGTTTAGATCTATTAATCTGAAATAAGACAAGGAGGTGTTGGAACAGAGTAGGCTGTTCGGCCCATTGAATCTCCTCTGCCATTCAGCGAGATCATGGCTGATCTTCCCAACTTCACATTCCTGCATTTTCCCCATTACCTCGATTCCCTTCCTGATTAGAAATCTGTCTCTCTAAGCCTTGAATTTATTTAATGACCCAGCCTCGACAGGCCTCTGCAGTAAAGAATTCCCCTCCCCTCAGAGAGGCAACTCCTCCTCATCTCTGTCTTAATGGGTTACCCCTGGCTCTTACCACTGGTCCTGGACTCTCCCATAAGGGGAAATAACCTCTCCACATCTCCCCTCTCAAGCCCCCTCAGAATCTTGAATGTTTCAATAAGATTGCCTCTCATTCTTCTAAACTCCAATGAGTCCTGGCCCTACCTACTCAACCTCTCCTCCATTGGACAGTCCCTCCATCCCCAGGATCTGCTGAGTGAACCTTCTCTGGATTGCTTCTGACGCCAATCGATCTTTCCTTAGATAAACGGCCCAAAACTATTCACACAGCTGTGGTCTGACTGGTGCCTTGCACTGTTTCAGCAAAACCTCCCTATTTTTATCCTCAATTCCCTTCGAAATAAAGGCCAACATTCCATTGTCCTTCCCTATGACTCGCTGGGCTTGGATGTGAGCTTTTTGGATTCCTGGACGAGGACTCCCAAATCCCTCTGTGCTGCAGCTTTCTGCAGTCTTTCTCCAGTTAAATCTTATTCAGGTCTTCCTGCCAAAGTGCAAAACCTTACAGTTCCCACATTATATTCCATCTGCCAATGTTCTGCCACTCACTGAACCTCTGCAGATTCTGTGTCATCCCCACCACTCACCTTTCCAAGCAATTTCAGTCATCCGCAAACTTGACAATACTATTAACTTCAACCGGGGTCTGGAAATTGGGGACCTTTGTGTTCCCTGTAAAATCTTTAACCTTTGTGACAACTCTGGGAATAGCCGGGCTTGATCTTCAGCACATTCCCTCAGTGAGTCACACAAGAATTAGAATTTTAACTAATAGACATGCAACAGTTCAAAATTGTGTGGCGGTAGCTAGAATCTATTTATTTGGAGGCTAGATGGATAGACCAGGCTAAATTGTCCCGTAGTGCCCAGGGATGTGCAGGTTAGGATGGATTGGCCATGCTAAGTTGCCCCATAGTGCCAAGGAATGTGCAGGTTAGGGTGGATTGGCCGTGCTAAATTGTCCCATAGTGCCCAGGGATGTGCAGGTTAGGGTGGATTGACCGTGCCAAATTGTCCCGTAGTGCCCAGGGATGTGCAGGTTAGGGTGGATTGGCCGTGCTAAATTGCCCCATAGTGCCCAGGGATGTGCAGGTTAGGGTGGATTGGCGTGCTAAATTGTCCCATAGTGCCCAGGGATGTGTAGGTTAGGGTGGATTGGCCGTGCTAAATTGCCCCATAGTGCCCAGGGATGTGCAAGCTACGTGGGTTAGCTCTGGTAAATGCAGGGTTACAGAGATAGGGGAGGGGTGTTGGATCTGGATGGAATGCTCTTCAGAAGTTCGGAAGAGACTCGATGGGCCAAATGGCCTCTTTCTGGATGATAATGGAATAGTGTAGGTTAGATGGGCTTCAGATTGGTTTCACAGGTCGGCGCAACATCGAGGGCTGAAGGGCCTGTACTGCGCTGTAATGTTCTATGTTCTATGCACTTTACGGATTCTATTCTATGATATACATCTTGTCTAAGTCAATTATATTTATCGTTAAGTAATTGTGGCTCCAACACTGATCCCAATGTCACTCTATAGTTACAGGTATTTGCTGAGATTTGAGAAAATTTGCTGGAGTTTGCAGGTATATGGTGGCATTTGAGGATATTTGCTACTGGGAGTGGGGCTCTGTGATTTAGTTTGAGGATATTTGGGGATATATGATGAGTTTGTGGGTTCATGATACAGTTTTGAGGTATTTGGTAGGGGTTGGAGGCAATCTGACGGCAGCTTTGGGATATTTTCTGGGGGATCAGAGTTATATGATGTGGTTGGGTCGTATCAGTGAGATTTGGGGGTATTTGACATGTAGCTGGGGCCATTTAATGTCGTTAGGAGAAATTATTGGAAATTGGGGGTGCTTGATAGATACCTGGGTGTGTCTGATGGCGTTTGGTGATATATGATGGGGGTTTGGGGTAAATGATGGGGGTTAGGCTGAATTTATGGTGGAGTTTGGGGATTTTTGCTAGAAGGGTGTATATGGTGACTGGGCATATCTAATGGAGTTTGGGGGGGTGGGGTTCTTTATAATGGAGGGTTGGGGTATTTGATGAGAGTTGACCTTCCCTCCACCCTAAGGTCAGAAGTGAATGTTCCCCAGTGATTGCACAACGTTCAGCACCATTCGCAACTCCACAGATACAAAAGCAGCCCAGTCCCAAATACAAGATCTGGATAATATTCGAGCCTGGGCTGTCCAGTGGCAAATAATATTGGTGCCACACAAGTGCCAGGCAATGACCATCTTCAGTAAGAGACAATCTAACTACCGTCCCTTGACATTCAATGGTGTTACCATCACTGAATCCCCCACTATCAACATCCTGGGGGTTACCATTGACCAGAAACTCAACTGGACTCACCACAAACACAGGCTACAAAAACAGGTCAGAGGTTGGGAATCCTGCAGCAAGTAACTCACCACCTGACTCCCCAAAGCCTGTCCCACCATCTACAAGGCATAAGTCAGGAGTGGGATGGAATACTCCCCACTTGCCCCTAGATGGGGGCAGCTCCAACAACACTCAAGAGGACACCATCCAGGACAAAGCAGGCCCCACTTGATTGGCACCACATCCACAAACATCCCACTCCCTCCCCCACCGACGCTCAGTCACAGCAGTGTGTACCATCTACAAGATGCACTGCAGAAATTCACCAAAGATCCTCAGGCAGCACCTTCCAAACCCATGACCACTTCCATCTAGAAGGACAAGGGCAGCAGATACATGGGACCACCACCCGCAAGCTCCCCTCTGAGCCACTCACCATCCTGACTTGGAAATATGCCTGTTCCTTCAGTGTCGCTGGGTCAAAATCCTGGAATTCCCTCCCTAAGGGACAGTGTGGGTCAACCCACAGCACATGGACTGCAGCGGTTCGAGAAGACAGCTGGACTTTGGGTGTACTTAGTGGGGGTTTATAATGGGGCTTTGTGTGTATTTGATGGAGTTTGGGAATTTTTGATGGACGTTTAGGGCATTTAGAGTCATAGAGCTGTATAGCGTGGAAACAGACCCTTTGGTCCAACTCGTCCATACCAACAGATATCCTAAATTAATCTAGTCCCATTTGCCAGCATTTTGCCCATATCCCTCTAAACCCTTCCTATTCATGTACCCATCCAGATGCCTTTTAAATGTTGTAATTGTACCAGCCTCCACCACTTCCTCTGGTAGCTCGTTCCATACACGCACCACCCTCTGTGTGAAAAAGTTGCCCCTCAGGTCCCTTTTAAATCTTTCCCCTCTCACCTATGCCCCTCTAGTTTTGGACTCCCCTACCCTGGGGAAAAGACCTTGTTCTATTCACCCTATCCATGCCCCTCATGATTTTATAAACCTACATAAGGTCACCCCTCAGCCTCCGATGCTCCAGGGAAAATAGCCCCAGCCTATTCAGCTCCTCCCTGGCAACATCCTTGTAAATCTTTTCTGAACCCTTTCAAGTTTGACAACATCCTTCCTGTAGCAGTGAGACCAGAACTGAACGCAGTATTCCAAAAGTGGCCCTAACCAATGTCCTGTACAACCACAACATGACCCTCCCAACTCCTATACCCACTGCGCTGACCAATAAAGACAAGTGTACCAAACACCTTCTTCACTGTCCTGTCTACCTGTGACTCTGATGTGGAGGTGCCAGTGTTGGACTTGGGTGGACAAAATAAGGTGAAGTCCTGATGAAGGAGCAGCACTCCAAAAACTTGTGATTTCAAATAAACCTGTTTCAAAAATAACCTGGTACCATGTGACTCTGACCTTACCTATGACTCCACTTTCACGGAACTATGAACCTGTGCATCAAGGTCTCTGTTCAGTGACACTCCCCAGGACCCTACCATTAAGTTATTAAGTCCTGCCTTGATTTGCCTTTCCAAAATGCAACAACCCATATTTAGGGGTATTTGATGGAGTTTGGGTATTTATGATGGGAGCTGAGATTTTTGATAGGAATTTAGGGGTATTTGATGGGGATTTAGGGATATTTGATGGAGTTTGGGGCTTGAAAATGGAAGTTTAGGTATTTGATGGGTATTTAGGGGTTTTTGAAGGGAGTTTGGGGATTTATGATGGGGGTTCAGGGTATTTGATGGGGATTTAGGAGTATTGGATGGTATTTAGGGTATTTGGTGGGCATATAGGGTATTTGATGGGGATCAGGGGTATTTGAAGGGAGTTTAGGGGTATTTGATGAGTATTTAGCGTATTTGATTTGGCTTTTGGGTATTTGATGGGGGCTTGCGGGCATTTGATTGGGATTTAGGGTATTTGAAGGGGGGTTAGGGTATTTAAGGAATTTGGTAGGGGTTTGGGGGTATTGGATGGGGTTTAGGGTATTAGATGGGTATTTGAAGGGAGTTTAGGGTATTAGATGGGTATTTAGAGTATTTGAAGGAGGTTTAGAGTATTTGATGCTTATTTAAGGAATTTGATATGGATTTAGGGTATTTGATGAGTATTTGGGAGTATTTGATTGGGATTTAGGAAATTTGAAGGGGGTTTAGGGTACTTAATATGGGTTTAAGATATTTGGTAGGGGTTTGGGTTATTTGATGGGAATTTAGGGGTATTTATTATGGGTTTAGAGTATTTTCTAGGGTTTTGGGGTATTTGTTGGGAACTTAGGGTATTTAGTATGGGTTTAGGGTATTTGGTAGGGATTTGGGGTATTTGAAGGGAATTTAGGGTATTTGGTACGGGTTTGGGGTATTTAAATTGGGTTTAGGGTATTTTGGTAGGAGTTTGGGGTATTTAAATTGGGTTTAGGGTATTTTGGTAGGAGTTTGGGGTATTTAAATTGGGTTTAGGGCATTTGATGTGAGTTTAGGGTGGTTGGGGGATGGGGTTATTGATGGCAGGATATGGACTGCAGGACTTTGTTGACGTCATTTCCTCTTTCTGGTTCCGCGAAGCCCCAGCCCATCCTCCCGCCTATCCCCGGATCATATGACCGGACCCTCTTAAAGGAGTCGCGAGCTCGATCTGGAAACTTCTTTCAGGCAAAACAAAACTAAATCCAAACCCGCCCCCCCGAAGCAAAACCAATGTCCTCCTATCCACGCGTTGCCTCTTAAACAACCTGCTTATTTTGAAATATACATAAAATAGATCTCATTATCGTCTCACCACCCCCTCACTCCCAATGTCTCATGTACTGCAGTATCGTGAAAGTGAATGTAGCCGCTTAATTTTTTCCCCAAAAACAAAGAGAAATTCGGGTCCGCGCCGAAAGAAAAATTAAACAATCCCGTGTCGTCTCCGTTCACGTCGGGGGCGCTTTAAGAAGGGGCGGGGTTGGGCTTTATGGACGCGGCATCTAACCGATCGAGAGCGATAGAGCCCGGACGCCGGGCGAAGAAGAACCAATCGGAGCGGAGAACGGCGGGCTGCCGACGAGGCATGCGCGGCTACAAGAGGAGCCGCGCCCCTGTTGGGGTACTGTGGACCTCCCAGTGGTGAGAGTAACCCTCCCAGGTCTCAGGGTTTTTTTTGGCTAGGAGCCTGCTTTAGCAATGGAGGGAAGCACAGACCTGTTTGAGGGGGAGGACTATAAGGTAAATCTTACTTGTCACCCAACAATAATATGTGCACTTCTTTTTTTTCATGTAAAAAGACTTCCTAAATTTATTTTTGCATTGATTGTTTTGTTGTTGTGCAATCAGAAAGCTGCTGAGATTAATGTGAAAAGGCAATTCTTTGTAATTATAACTTTTTATTTCCTTAACAAAGCAGATGGAAAATTGGATTAATGTCTGAAGTATTGCAATTTTGCTGTCTCTCTCCTAATTGCTTACCAAGAGAAACAAAATGAGTGCTCCCCACACCCACCCCCTCTCTGTCCTTGTCATAATTCCATCTGCTGCCTCCTGCCACAGTAGCTGTTGTTGGATTTGTTTGTTTTCTATTACCTCTTTTTGGTCTAGTTTCTGTGTGACTGTTTGTTTTTCTCTTAAATTTAAACATTGCCCTATGGATTTGCAACGTGTCCCTTCTTTTAAACTAATGCTTTTCACCACATTCTTTCTCCAGTGTCCTGCTTTACTTTCTGCCATGCACTTTTTTTTCCCAAAACTGACCAGTTGTAGGTGCATTTTAGACATAGTGCATTTTTGCTTTATTTAAAAAGAAACTCGTGTACATCTAAAATTTTGTTTGTTTATATTTTTTAAATGTCTTTTATTTAACCTCTCTTTACAAGTCATAGAGCTGTACAGTATGGAAACAGTCCCTTTGGTCCAACTTGTCCATACCAACCAGATATCCTAAACTAACCTAGTGCCATGTGGCCCATGTCCCTCTTAAACCCTTCCTATTCATGTACCCATCCAGGTGCCTTTTAAATGTTGTAAATGTACTAGCCTCCACTACCACCTCTGGCAGCTCATTTCATACATGCATCACCCTCTGTGGAAAAAGTTGTCCCTTGGGTCCATTTTTAAATCTTTCTCCTCTCTCCTTAAACCTATGCCCTCTAATTTTGACTCTCCCACCCAAGGTAAAAGACCTTAACTATTCACCCCATCCATGCCCCACAGAGTTTTATAAACCTCTATAAGGTCACCCCCTCGGGCTCTGATGCTCCAGGGAAAATAGCCCCACCCCACTCACCCTCTCCCTATAGCTCAAACCCTCCAAACTCCCCCCACCCCGACCCCGCAGCATCCTTGTAAATCTTCTCTGAACCCTTTTTGAGTTTTTGTACCAATTGTAGGTGCATTTTAGACATGATAAATGTACTACTTTTGTTTTAAAAAATGAGCTTGTAAAAATTGTCTCCTGCATTTGCAACTTTCTTTTTAAACTTATCCTTGCAAGTGCTGTTTTTGGTTTTTTTTTTCTGCTTCTCTCTCTATTTTCCTTAATTTTCTTTTTCAAATCCTAAATGTTGAGTAAATTAAAATTTGTTTTCCATTCTTTACCTACTTTTTTTGTCTTTTTGATTCTCTTAAATCAAAAAATGAACAAATGACAACCATGTAGAAAGAGGTGATTTTGTTGTTTGCTGGGGGAGAAGCATATTATATGCGTCAGTCTGCAGAACCTGGAGCCACAGGTCTTGACTAACCTAGTTCTTGGCTTGCAACTACTCTAAAGACTGACGTACTGAGGCAGCTGCCCTACATTGGAACAGTGCAACATGCCAAGGCTCTTCAGACTGCATCTTCCAAACACGTGACCACTTGCATCTAGAAGGGCAAGGGCAGCAGATACATGGGAACACCACCCCCTGCAAGTTCCCCTCTCCATCCTGACTTGGGAATGTATCGTCATTCCTTTGCTGTCACTGGGTCAAAATATCGTACCCGTCACCCTTCTACACCCTAGGGACTGCAGCAGCCTGAAAAGGCCCATCATCAACCCCTACCTCTTAAGGGGCAGTTAGGGATGGGCAATAAATGTTGGTGCAGCCACTGAAGTAAATTTAATTATTTAGTTTTAAAAGTTAACTGTGCCAGTGTTCTGTAACCTAAAAACCAAAACACAAAACATGTATTTATGGAGTAGAACAATCGAGTGAGCACAGACTTGA